GCTCACATGTCCTCATCACAGACGATGCCTTTGTCACATAATCACACACACACACACACACACACACACACACACACACACACAAACACACAGACACCAGAGAGTACAGGGAGTACACACTGCACACACTGCACACAATTACCATCTTGTAATTGCGATCTATCAGACGTTGTTGTGAAGTGGTGCCCGATGTGCATGTTGTCAGCCCTGCTGCATTATCAGAGCTTGGGAAATGACAAGACTATTTATAGGAGCTATTTATGCACTTATCCTGTTGTTGCCATTGTCCACGGGTGGAATGGGCGGCCCTGGTTAGAGCCGGACAGACAGACAGTTAATCAATCAGTGCATCAGTTTGTACAGTGTGTGATGTCCTATGAAAGTTGAACATGAGGAGCTGCTTACAGTTAGCTTTCACAGGTCAGCATAGGGACAGTTTTTATTCTAGTGATGATTTAAGTCGAGAGAGGAGAGAAGGAACATGTGGTTGTAACCTGTGATGTACAGTACATTTTATTTTTTTACTAGCTACGATTTATTGAGCTTTGAAACTGGTAATCTGTTCAATTCGTGCCATTTTATTTTAATTATCCTAGTTAATTAAAGCATAATATTTGGTCTTGTTAAGCCCTTGACAAATAACTGTTTTCAGTGTGTTAACAAGGACATTTTTGGTCAGTTCACTTTCAACACAGAGCAGTTTAGTGATTAAATGAAAAATATTTATCCCTGTTTGGTTCCTGGTGTATATCAAGTGAACTGAAAGCAAACTGCAGGTGAATTTGTCTATCATAAAAAAAAAGTCAAGGACACTGTGATGTGTAGGGATACAAAGGACACCAATCACTGTGACATCAAGCAGAGAAATTATTTATTTATTTCTTTACTTTCTGTGTCTTCTGCAAGATCAACAGCCTGTGATGGTTTTCTGGTCTGCACATACATGAGCGAGACAGTTCTGTGTGTGTGTGTGTGTGTGTGTGTGTGTGCACAACCATATGCATACAATTTAAATAATAGAAGACATTTTGTATTGCAACCAAACCACTAAGATCTGCATTTGTATTCATCACAGTCCCTATAACATTAACATCATAACCCTTAAACCAACCCTAATGATTGATACAATATCACAAAACAAAATATAGCAATACCGTATTTTTCAGTATTTTCTTACACTACTCGATATACTTTTAAAGATACTGTTTTTGTGTCCTGTTTGATAAGCAATGGCTGCACAGTTAAAGGCTAAAGTTTTTTTCCCCATGTTTTTATTTATTGCTTACAAATCCAATGAAAAGGCCAAACCCGTCGACAGTCTGTCTCTTTCCAACTTCCATACCCTGCGGATGGCACTCAGTCCTAAGTCTGTTTATTCCTACTGTAGACATACATTTGGAAATGGTCATGAATATATACTATTGAAATAATTTCATTAAAAAGAATCATTATAGTTTTTAGCAAAGGTTACTCAGGCAGTAATACATTTTGCATTTGTTGGGGACTATTTTTTAGCTGTTGATTAATACACGTCTGGCGGACTGGATATATTTAAGTGTCATACCCCTTCTTCATACAAACAAAAAAAAAATACAAATATTTTACATATACAAATATTTAGAAAGTTAATTACTTAGTGAGACATTTCGCAGTTGAAAAATAAAGTTGTCAGTGGACAAACTAGTCTCGATTTCCACAAACCTACAGTATTTTTGGCATTTCTCGACTGCATTTTGCTCTTACTTTTACTCTACTGCAGATACAACATGGATCTGATAACCTAATATTGGCTAACAGATTGTGTTTTTATTATTTTTTTCACAGTAGTGAGATGAAAACGAGGACAGAAATATGGGGAATGACTTCTAACAAAGGTCCACAGGCTGGACTCAAACCTGGGACGTTGCCATTCATGGCCATTCATGGAGATCTATAGGGCAGAGGAATAATATATGTCAGGCTTTGGCTACACAGATCATTGTTGGTTTTGTTCTTTTGATGGGATTTTTTGACCAAATAAATGAATAATGTATTTCACCTATTCCTATATGTTCTTACAAGTTCGAGAGAAAGCAGTAAAATAATTTTACTCGTTTATTTACAGTAGATTAAGAGATTTGATTGATGGTTGTTATTTTGTGTTCATCGATATTTTTCAGATTTCAGGTTTTTCTTTGTTAAAATGTGCTGCTGGTTCAAGGCAGCGCATTGTGTCTGCTGGACCTCTGGTATGATCACAATCCATTCTGTGGCATTTTCAAATAAGTAATGAATAATTTACTGTGCTCCTGGTATTCATTTATTTTTTGGCTGCAATGTGTCTGCCTCTGCTGGAGAAAGGCTGACAGTCGGTACTCCAGAGAAATCACAAGTTGCCATAACTACAAGTGCTGAGGTCTCTGTGCGGTCCAGAGTGTAGCCCCGGAGAGGTGGGCAGTAAGCCGACCATGAGTGAAGGCTGAGAGCTCTGGTAGACCCCGTCCAGCAGGAACCCAGCACCTGAAGCGCTCCTCAGACAGACTTGTTTCTCTTCAGTTTGCTCATGTACGCAGGAGATAAAACTGCATGCCTGATGGTTCATCATGTGTAGAAAGGGAGTCCATCAATTATTTACTTAATGTCAGTCTAGGACAGATAATGAGGAGAATTGCACAAAGACTACTTAAGGTTATAAATGCTTTTCATTTTCCTCACTTTCAGATGCTCCTTTTCCTAACAGCAACATTACAAGAATCCAGTGGAATACAGGCTCATAATTAGGCAAAATTAAAAGATAAAACACACAAGGCTGAGAAATTGAATAGAGGACAATTGCAGTACAAGGGCAATTTGGTTATCTTTTTGTACATGCTTTCAGTGTGGTTATCCCACAAGTTCTCTTGGAAGGTTGTCTTGCAGTGGCTCTCTTTCTGATAGACAGCCTAATTCATACAGTTGGTGTTGTTATAATCCCCTGGGAGGCTGTCTTCGTTTTCTCTCTGCCTTGTTTATTCCAGTGATGTCCTCTCCATCCATTTCTACAGAGGGACCCAGACCACTACAGCTTAATGTTTTGTTGTTGTTAGATCACTTCATACCTCTGAGGCATTTCACTGGTTCCCTGCTGTGTGTGTGTGGTAGGAGAAACACGTTAGCGTTTGTTATCCAGCTCCGCCGAGGTCCTTCGGGATCCCCAGTCCCCCCGTGACTCAAACGCGTACAGATGTGTTTCCAACAAAAATTACTTTTAAAATTAATTTAAATTCATGTGTTTGTCTTGAGTTGTGTTTACAGCTGAGGTGAGGATTTGGGTTAAAGGTTTCTACATCCGCACGTCTTTGGAATGTTGTTATGTACAGTATATATCTGAAGTTTATCATTTTTTTTGTGCATGCCTACATGAGTTTGAGATATGGACATATGGATATATTTGACTGCATGTATGTGTATTGATTATTAGTATATGTATTTTTTGTGCACTGAATCAGTCTACTCTCACGTCTCTATATTCCATCTGTTCCATCATGTTCAGTCTGCAATCTGAATGGAAACAGGAACTAATGATCAGTCTTCAAACTGTGCAAAAACTTTATGGTGTGGAAATGAGTGCATTGATTGTGCACAGCTTGAGAAGTATACATATCAATGCAAACATACACTTCCACAAATGCATGCATTTATAGGAATAGATTTACCTTTTGCAGAAGAAGCTTATAATGCATGCAAACACTGGGAGACACTTTAGTGTGAGATATGCAGCTTTACATCACTCTTAACAGCACTGTGGTGAAGAAAATACTGAGCATGGGGGTTTAAAATTCAACTGACCATTTTATTGCACATTAGTGAGTTGAGCTCATTTGTTAAAAAATTTAAAGCGAAGGCATTTAAACTGAAGACATTACTGTTGTGCTTATAGGCACAATCCACATAGAACACATGTTGGATATCTTGAACATGTTTTAGTCAATTATTGAGGCATATCTCTTTCTCCAATAGAGAATTTAATTTTGGATCGATGATACACTAGTACATGTAACTTAATGGAAGCACAGCTGAAAAATCCACTTTGATCCCATTTGTTACAATGCAAAAGTACATTTCAGACTGAACAGATATGCACTGGAGTCTCTGGGTATACATCTTTTTGTTGGGTGTAATGTGAGTTCGAATAATTAAGCTGGAGGGCTTGACGCTAGATAATGGACTGCGACAGTGAAAGGCCCCCATAATGAGTGATGAGAACTCAGGGCATTATTGTTAAGAGGCCGGACGTGACATTTACAGTTTGCGTTGGCGCGTGCACACTCACACAGACGTATAATCATGAATCCTTTAGATAAATGTTAAAATCAAGTCTGCTCTCTGTCTTTATCTTCCTCTCAGAGCACTCTGTACAACAAACCTTTTCTATCTACATAAAGTATATTTCTTTCTGACTCACTCCTTCACAAACACCCGACACAAGCAGTTAGTCCTAGACGGACACTTATACACTCCCCCGTTCGTTATATTGATCCATGCTTACACAAGCATTAGCACTCACTTAGAATGAGAGGCATGTCTTCACCCATACACAGGAGCACAGGGCATAAACACATCCATACAAATGTGCACACAGTTTCTCATGTTGCTTAGTGACACATGCAACGCTAACACACAAACTTCTCGGGATGAAACACACACGTCTGCTTTGGGCTGGCAGATTTTTCCAAATTGAATCGGAGTGTATAGCAGCTGATGTATTCATCCAGTGTGTTTGATTTAACGAGGTCCACTCTGTCTCGTCATAAATCCTATTAATATTCTGAACTTCCCATTGATTTTTATTTTTTCAAGCCATCCTAGTGCATTATTTGATATCTTCTAGCCTTTGTTTCTGATTTAATGAACCCCCATGCAGACATTCACTCACTCTCTCTCTCTCTCTCTCTCTCTCTCTCACCACACACACACACACACACACACACACACACACACACACACACACACACACACACAAAGACAACTCATGGAACAGCTTTTCCTTTTAGAAGTCTTTATTCATCTGTGTAGAAAAAAAGACGACAGACCAATAAATGGAATAGCATTTTGCACCCATTTTTATGTTTATACATGAGAGTGTTTTCATTATCACATCTGAGGGTGACATTTTTAAAGGAAAAAGGATTTCTGCACAGAATGAAAGGAAGCTTCAGTGCTCTCGAAAAAAAAGAGAGAAAAACAAAAACAAATGCAGAAAAAAACAACAACCTAAAACCCCACACCGGAGCTCTTCCAATATTACTGGTACACAGTAACACAGGTTGGAAAAGAGAAAGAGAGCTACTCAAAGTAAGAATGAGTTTAAGAACTCACAGGCTCTATATGTATATCAGTCCTCCCCATCCTCCCCTCCACCCTTTATTTTTCTCGTTTTACTCTCTCCTCTTCCTCTTTTAATCTCTGGCTGTTTGCTAGCATTTTCCTTTGAAGTTCCTCCTCCCTAAAGTATATTAGTGGGGTCAGTGAGAGGCAGTCAAGAAAGCAGGTGCCGCTTCCTTCTTGCTGTGTTAGTTTGTGTGTTGAACTGCACAGTGTAGCGGTAAGGCTGTGATCCCTGTTACAATAACTGTGTCTATGCTGTACTAAGGCCTATTAAAACTGGATGACCTGAGTCAACTAATGTACTTTACCTCACAGAATGCATCAGATCAACTTCCACTGTTTTAAAAATGCAAGACCAGTTGGTAAAGTTATTCAAATTAAAATGTCCTCTTGTGGGGTGGGGCAACGTGATGACAATACACATTTGCAAAATTTGATTCATTATTGATTAATGTGCCAATTATTCTTTGAATTATTTTGTTACTAATTTGGTTGATAGAATATCAGACAATAGTTAAAAAGGTCAGCCAAAATATTTTGTACCCAGTTGAAGTGATAAATATTTTCAGTTTACTATCACAAGAAATGCAGCAAAATCACAATTGGTAGGTTGAAACAAGGAAATATTTGGTATTTTTGCTTAGAAAATGTGATTCAGTGATTTTTTGTACATCAAAAAAGTTGCAGATTTCAGAATTTTCTTTCGATTGATTAATTGACTAATCCATTTCAGCTCTACAAATTTGTCAACCGTTATTTTTCCCTAAACCAATTATACTGTGGAAGCCATCACTTAAATATTTCTGGTTTAATATATCTGGTTGTATTACGCTGTTTCAGTTAAAAGAGCATAAATACTTCATGGCATAGTTGGAATTTCCTATGATTTTTGCATCAATGTGTTGAAGTACTATTGTTTGTCAGCTTTTAATTTACTGGGTCAAAAAACAGACATTGGTAATTGTATCTATAATCAGTTTTCCAATTAATATATCGCAAGTACTATATCTCAATACATATCAATCTCAAGATATAAAATTACATATACTGTGATAGATTTTTTTATCCATATTGCCCATTCTATCCATTAAATAACAAAATAGTTACAACTTTTTTAGTAAAATTGAAAAGATATATTATTATGAGTGAATTTTAACTTAGTAATTAGACAGAGTAGTTCCGACTTCCACAAAAAAATGATTAGCTGCTAAAACTTATTTTCAATTAAGAAGGTTTAACCAGGCTCTAGAGGATAATGGGTTACTATTATAAGATGTATGATTAGGTTTTTTTCACTTCATTTGAAAAGGTAATTTAATAATGAGACCAGACCACAATAGAAATTGGGTACATGCAGTACTTTTTCGAAAGAGGGAGATCTTTAATAGCCGTTCTTCTCAAGCCAGTCATTTGTCCTGTGGTTGCGGCAGTCATTTTACTTTTTTATGTCTTTCTCTGATTGTCTTGCCATGCCTCTTTTCCTCATGTTGTCCTACAAACATTTCTATACTCATGATATGTGGTATGGAAATGGGTTCATGTTAGGATGAAGATACATAATACATGTGGTGGAAACTGCCCGAGAAATATTGTTTAATGAGACTTTGACTTGTAATGATCACATGCAGCTGAAAACGTCTGTCCTTGAAGGAGGTGTGCTGTCTTTTATCACTCAGATATTTGCTGAGTGCAGCAGTGGATACACTGTGGGTAAAACTTGAGCCATTTTTTGGATGACGATGTCACATTATTCCAGTTGTCACCCCTCTTCTTTACCCCGCCCGCCCCTGATCCCCCATCTTCTTTTCCTTTTGTCTGCTTTTTTACCTCCTGCCGCTGCATTTGTCACACGCCCTTTTTTCCACTTATCTTCCTTTTTTCTCTTCTTTCCTGTCCTCACTCTCTGCCATAAGCCAGCACACCTCTCTCAGTGCCCAAAACGGCACCCCTCTCTTTCCCCCTCTGTCTTATTTTATGTTCTATCCCTCCATCTATCCATCACCCCCACCACCCCACTCTCTCGCTCTCTCTCTCTCTCCCCCTCTCATTAGTCTCCCTATGCTGTGGTTTGTGTCTCCCATCTCTGTCAGAACTGTTATCACTGCTGTCAGCTCCCTTGGCGAGAACAAAGTCGTTCTCTGCTCACGGCACCACAAAAGACACGAGAGAAATAAAAGGAAAGAGCCTCAGCCAAAAAAAAAGGAGGCGGAAAGGAGGAAAAATTAAAAAGAAGGGGAGTAAACTAGAGGAAAAAGAGGGGGCTTGGAACACATCTTTTCATGTCAACCATGATGCATTGTCATCTGTGGGTTATAACAACCATTGATTTCTCCCTCTGTCATCCCTTTTATCTATACAGCACAGAGCTTACAGTTGGTAGGAAGATATGAGAGCTATCTCTATACACATCAAGTGTCTTTTCCTCATATTATAAATATATCTCCTGCTAAATCAGCTAAGCCTAGTATATCAACCTCAAATAAGTTACTGTGTATTATTATGAGCTGAGAAGAACAGTAGGTTTGAAAGACACTGAGATATCCAAAAGAGAAAACGTAACCATTTATAACTATAAGTAGCGCTGAAAGAAGGGCCTACTGTATAATGTAGTATACAGTAGTAGAGTATAGTAGGACTTACTTCTGTCACTCAATAGCAATGTCCAATCAACATAGCTGAAATCAGTCTTTTCTACCTAGCAAACCAATCAGAATAGAACCAGCAGAGGCACAGAGGGTACTTTGGAAACCAAGGACAAAACTGCCACCAGCCAAGGTGTCGTCATCATAGAAGTGGCGCCTGGCATTCATGACTCAGGGAGTGGGTCATTGTGTCATCACGTGTAGGCATAATCTATGTCAGGGATGCCCCCCTCTCTGTAGCCACGGTTGGTACCATAAGTGACATGATGGTGACTGGTTTGGCTGAGGATGGTGCCATTGAGGCTGCCAGCTCCGTGGCTGCTCCGGTAGGTCCCATTAGCTTGGGAGGAAGAGGAAGAAGAGGGGAAGATGGTGTGGATGTAGGTGACATCCTCCAGTTTAGGCTGCAGGGGCTGATGGGCCATAGCTGTCATCTGAAACCCTGCAGGAGGGGCCCTGATCTCTAAGATTGAAGTGTCTTTCTTGGTGCCTGACTCTACATAGTCATCATAATGTTTTCCACCCCGGCCCCTGCTGTATGAGCCTGAGTCCCCAGACATGTAACCTGCTCTCTGTCCATACCAGCAGAAGATGCCAAAGATTAACAGCAGGCTTACCAATGCTGTGGCACCCCCTATGATCCCAGCCAATGGCAGGGCTGTTAGTTCAGAGTCCTGTCCCTCTTTATCTGACCCCTCCCCTCCTGAGTTGACCAGAGCATCTCCAGTCTCTATCTGTGCGCAGGCCGGGGACGAGTCTTTACTGTCCGTGTCCATGCTGCCAACTCGAGATGACCCCATGCTGGAACCCCCAAAGGAGGGCTCCTGACGTAGTGGCAGCAAGCAGATGAGGTAATGGGAGCGTGGGGTGAGCTGGGTAAGGAGGTACTGCCTCCTCTCTCCAGGAACCAGAGTCTCTGTTATGGAACCAAGAGCTGCACTGCTACCCAACCTCAGCCACGACAGGCGGAAGGAGGGTGCTGGCTGTGGGCACAGCCAACTTACCAGTACACTGTCCGAAGAAAGAGGTTTTACAGTCAGCTCCAGGGCCTCTCCAGTTACCTGTCCTCCTTCACCGGGAGGCAGAGGCATAACAAGGCCTGGCCGCTTGGCTCGCAGGGTGAAGAGGGAACCTTGTGTGGGGACCAGCAGAGAGGTGGTGGTGGTGCTGCCATGGGGGACTGAAGCCACTGCTTGGCCCCCTCCAACACCATCTTCACCTCCTCCATCCTTTTCTGCTGGGTTCACCCCCATTCCAGTACTGGGACCAGCAGGGGGGACCTTCACACTGCTCCATCAGGGAGGTTAGGTCTCTGAGGATCTGGCCCCTTACAGGCTCAGGCCCCTGACAGGTCAGACCCCTGACTGTCACGGCTGCCCCCCGGCCATGCAGCCAGGCGTGGAGCCAGCGAAGGTTGCACCCACAGAACCAGGGGTTTCCTCGCAACAGTAGCAGCTCCAGGCTTTCTGTGTCCTTCAGAAGTCCTCGTGGGAGACTGGTCAGATTGTTTCCTGACAGGTCCAGCCTCTGTAGCCGCCGCATCCCATCCAGCGCCCCCCGTGGTATGTGAGTCATTCCGTTGTCTTGCAAATGAAGTCGCACAAGGTGAGCTGACGGTAGGTTGACTGGTGGAGACTGCAGGGCATTCCTGACCAGTGACAGCTCAGTCAGGTTGGAGAGACGGGAAAAGGTGTCATCTGCGATGCGTGTGTTGGCCAACAAGTTCCCATCCAGGACCAAGCGTCGCAGGGAGGAGAGCCCACGGAAAGCATGTGTGGGGATGGTGCTGATTCTATTGTCGTCCAGTCGCAACTCCTCCAAGGATGCTGGCAAGCCTGCAGGGATGCTTGACAGGTGGTTCCGAGATAGAAACAGCAGTCGAAGCCTTGGAGTCCCAGAAAAAGCTCGCTCCTGGATGCTAACTGTGGATATAGAGTTATCATCCAGGTGTAAACGTTCTAGTAATGGTAACTTGGCCAAAGCTGATCTCGGTAACGTTCGTATATTGTTATCCTGTAAATGGAGCTCCCGTAACGAAGGCGGGAGGTGTATAGGGAATTCATCCAGCTGGTTGGCATACAGGTAAATCACTCGTATGGACGTGCTGCGTTCCAGGGAGGGAGGCAGCCCAGCGTTACTCAGCCGGTTGCTTTGCAAGTAGAGGATGGCAGCCATTAACGGTAGTGGTGGAATTATACTGAGGCCTCGATCGTTGCAGTAGACAAAACCCTCATCACAGCGGCACACTGAGGGACAAACAATGCCCTCATCTCCCTCGCCCGTCTCCATGGCAATTGCCGCTGCCGCCAGTTCCAGCACCTCAGCCAATAAGGTGAGGCACAGGAGGAGCAGAAAGAGCCAATCGCGGAGCTCAGCAAGACTCTCAGCTGCCATGTTGGTACACAGCTCCTGATTGAAAGAGAGGAAATGGGAAACTGGATTAAAACAAGTACAAAGGCTGTGACTCATTATTCTAAAAATAAAAGGAGTAACTCATTACATTCAAAAGAGAAAGTAGAAAGAATGGTTGTTAAAAAGACAATAGATAAACCACACAGTTAACCACTTTCTCTAAAAGGGGTTAACTACAGTGCTGTAATTTTCTACCTGCTGTTAAAAGTTATGTTTTTTTATCTCTTAAGTGGAGAAGATTTTGGGATTAAATAGTCTGACATACTGTACAGGGGCTGTCCTGTATTATATGGGTCAGAGCAACCAAGCAGAAGACAAACGGACATTTAGAGGCAGAGAGCGCGATGAAGGGTGGAGTGAGCGGGCGAGGAAGATTACAAGAATCAGTGAAAGCAAAAGGATGATAGAGATGGAGAAAATTGGACAGTGACAGTTGCAGAGGGGAAAATAAACGAGGGAGATTTTTTTTCCAAGGAGATTAACTGAAATGGAGTGACTGACATGAAACTAAAATGGAGGAGAGATCGGGGAGAAGGGAATCAGATTAATTGCCCACAGTGCTGTTGATAGCTTTTAAGACAACAGAAGTGATAAACTTGATGTGACTGCACTATATTGCATCCTCCAATGAAACTATCAAGAATATATGTACAGTAAATACAGAAATAGAAAAAGCTGAATTTCCTGACTGTATATTCAGAAACACAAGGTGTCTGTTTGAGGTTATGACCAAAACACACACAGAGAAACGCACATACAAATAAGTAAACATGCTCAACACAAAGCATTCGCATACAGAACAGACTCTCAGTACAAGCTGACATGTATAATGCATGTTTTCTCTTGGATGTTATTGTTCGTGAAATTTCTATAAATTATTCAGGAAAGTGGTCCTGAAATCCCCAGAAATGTTTTAGCGAGATGTTTTACATAGAGGCATTTTTCTGCAACAATATTACGTTCCTTGGTCGATGTTTTATGGCTTGTCTCCTAGAGAATCCCTGACACCAACATCAGTAACATAAATTTACAATTCAAATAAAATGATCTCCGTGCACTCACATCACAGCGCACTATTTATAGAATATGAATAATATACAGTGGTGAAAGTTGTAGAAATTACATTGTGCCGTACTCTTGTTTGAATCCTTTCTTTTGGGAAGCCTGGGGCTGGAAAATGTGCCTTGACATGAAATGCCTGACATGATTTGACAGCACATTTGATAAACAAATCCTCTAAAGGCAAGTTGTTTTTTTTCTCCCCTTCTGTGCACGCATGTATGTGTTTGTGTGTGTGCTCGTATGTGAACTCAGTGCTAGATGCAAAATTGCCCCTTGGCTGCAGTCAAAGTCCATGCAAAGCAAACTAGAGATGGCAACAATAGAAGAGACGGAGGGTTGGGGGGAGGGAGGGATGGAGGGATGGAGGCGAGGAGACAGATGGAGAGTTGGACAGTCAGTTAGAGTAGGAGAGTAGGAGAGGGGAAGTGAGTTCCTGGCAGTGAAGACTCGAGTCTGTATCAGCTTATAGAAGAATGAATGTTTTTGTAGATATGTGTAAAAATAGATACATTTGTGTACCTGTACATACTTATGTGTGCCTTTTTAAGTGTCTTTGTATGAAAAAGCTCTGCATGAACAACTCCAGCTCCTGTCTCAGCTCAACACAGGCAGTATTTTAATATGTAATACCCTGAAAAAGAGCGTGTGCCATGCAAGTCGGCGTGGGTCCAGACTTTATTTTTCTCTTTCCTTAATGGTATTTTTAGCTTAAATGTGACTATTTCCAAGCATTCCCAGCATTTGAGAGACAGACAAAGTGAAGGAGAGAAACACATGCACACAAGGGAGAGTGTCAAGGTAGGAGCTGAGACCATATTGGGGAAGGCTCTATGAATATCAACTAGCATATGCTTCGGTGTCACACTATCCCCGCTTCCCTTTCATAAATATCCTCTTGGCACGAACCTGTATGTGTGTTTTTGCCTACATGCCAAGGCTTCCTATCGACACGTCCTCTTAATGATCCTTAGATTTTCTGTCTCTCCCCTCTCTGGCTCGCTCCCTCTCCAACTGTCTCCAACTGTCCCTCTTATGGCGCTCTCCTCTCTGCATCTCTATCTTTCACGCTATCCACCTCTCCCATCTGCCCACCACCACCCACCTCCTCCCCTTCATAATAATCTTTCATTATATCCACTCTCGGGTTTGTTTACAGAAGTGTCCGTGCAGTCATCCTCCTTCTCTCCTCCCTTGTCTCTATCTCTTTCTAATCCTCTTTTATCGTTTCCTCTCCGGTTGTCCGTTGATTCCTACACACTGAGATTGGATCAATCAGCTCTGCTTCAGTCCTCCTGCCCAGACCTCCTCTCTCTTCTCCTCCATGGCAACTTAGTTTATTTTTTTCATTTAGATGCAGCCAACCCCCCACCTCTTCTCCCCCCTTCTATTTCTTACTCCCTCTAGGCCTCGGCTTTCTTGCCTGTACATTCGCCTGCCTTTCCCTTTGTGGTGCCCCCCCTCTCCAACATTTCAATCATGTACTGAAATAAAAGCCTTTGTTGAAGCACAGGCAGTGTGTATGTGTATTTTTTTCCAATCATGTAGCTGAAAGCAAGATGCAACAGTGCTGTTCTTCGTTGCGGTGAACGCAGAGAGAAAGCGTGTGTGTAAAAGGTCTGAGCGACCCAGGATGTGATTGTATGGGGCTTGCTAACCTTCTTAGTCTCTGTGCTTTTCACGTCCGCCGCAGCTTTGGTTTTCCTGTATCAGGATTTTGTGGAGAGAAGTATTAGTGTGTCTATCTGTGTGATTGAGGATGTAGCTGTGGATCTCTCTGTGTGTTAGCGCAGTCTCCCAGTCTTCTTTGAGTCGTTCAGAAGCGTAGCCTCGCTCCTTGGGGCCGTTGAATCTTCCTCAGCTTGGGTGAATGATGATAGGGATGGTGATAGCCTGTACTCCAGGGCTCCGCAAGTAGCAACACCAGCATGGCTCAAAGCCGCCTCGGCACCCACATTTGTGTGTTGTGTGCGTGTCGTACTACCAAGCTCTTTCTCTCTCTGGGGTAAGGGGTTTTAGGCCTGCCAACTCAAGTCATCTTCAACATGCGTCCAGAGGCCTAATTCTAAAAACCAGCGCTCCACACCCAAATGCTATAGTTGGGCAGACAGTCAGAAGATGGTTGAGGGGCTCAAGGGTCCTTCTTCGAAGTCAAAAGCAATCCTGGATACTCATGCAAGCAGCGGGTCATTCAAAAATAGTACTGTGCCGTTCTACACTCACGTTGAATAACCAGGTAGTGGATTTAATTAATGAGCAGCAAGGACAGAATAAGTGAGATTTCCACGGCTCAGAAAAATCCAGTAAAGAGTCCTTATGATCTGTTATTGGTTGTATTATAACAATTATTACAACATTAATTTCACAGTTCAGTGATGGTAATGAGTACGTTTGAGGCTGTGACGGACAGGTTGGCCCAGTGCAGCCTGTAAGAGTCTCCGCTCGGGCTTCTTTCTCCTTCCCTCTCAGTTTCAGCTTCAACTCTCCTTTGTTAATTGTTTGATCATTTCCTTTTCAGTTCACACAGATTATATTTAGAGGCAGAAAAGCAAGATGACAGCAGCACCGTATGTAGTCTGCTTTAAGCGGCGCTGTGATGGCCCATCACGTGGCTCAGTGTGAAAAGTTCTCCCACAGGTTAGCAGAAATTGACAGTGTCCTCAAGGCAGACTTGACTTGTGTTTGCTTCAGCAGGACAGCTTGCTGAGTGTTAGCGAACACCGCCCTGAGAGGAGACAGTAGACAAATACAGTATTAATTTTCATTTGGACATTTAATTTTCATTTTTGGCAGTGAATTAGGGTAACAAGGTTTTTTGAGAAATTTAGAAAGTGGAAAATCCTTCTTAAAACACATAAAATGGAAATGAAACAAGAGTTCACAACAAAAGCTCAGTTTTGTGCCCTTTAACTAGTTTAGCTTTTCTTATTAAGTTAAGCCAAATTTTACTAGTTCAATGGCAACAAATATAATATTGCCTTAATAGTTCTCCCATATGTGTCATCATTCCAACTTAAACTTGTATACTTTACTCCGAATGTATTTAAATGTTGGCACAGTAGCTTACAACTCTAAAAATAAATAAAAATTAAGTTGCTTTTAAGGGGCTGCATAAACAAAATGCTTCCCTGTCATAATTTTTTTTATACCAGCTTTCTTTAAGCGACTTCAAGATGTAATTTTGGGTTTCGACGTTGGCACAATATGGAATACTAAAAGCTACGGGCTAAATAATTATCCCCATCAGAACGGTTATACCTTTTAAAATTAAGTACCTCGTGAAAATACTTCCTGAAGGTCAATGCTGCATATGCGCAACACTAAGCTCCCAGCGGACACAAACCTCCCATTAAGGTAACTCCATGTTTTATATCTGTTTTTTTCTTCATCACACAAAGCTTTGGAGCTTTCATTAACCACCACGCGCTAAGTGCCTGTATCTTGTGTGTAGAATCGAACCCCCAAGTGAACACTGGCTTTAGAAATGTAAGGTTTTCATCAGGCATACTGAGTGTACAGAGACAGATTCATCAAGGCCATTAACTGCTCTGCTGCTCACACTCGCCTGTTCACTTCATCCCAGAATAAGTAGACTACATAGCCAACTGGGAAATTATCATGCAGTTTGCTTAAACACAAATAGAGACAAATAAAGCCGTCCTCATTTTCATTTTCAAAGGACACATGCTGTAGCTGAGAAGCAGTTGGTCAACAAGCTTATGTTTGGGTGTGTAAAGTGTATTTAAATGTGTTTAAGTTGTGCACCATACATCCTCAACTCAGGGTGTTAGTGTCTGTGCGTCTGTATTTTAGGTTTGGTGTTTTAACTGCTTCCACAAATGGAAAGGAATGTGTGTGTGCAGTTTATTTGGGTAGTTAGGTGGTTGGTGTGGGATGAAGTTGCGCAGTATGTGGTGAGATATGTTGTCCTTTTTTATAAAACAGCTCCAGACTGATATCCAGTTTGTGGCATAGTAAACTGATTTATATGTGCACAGTGCGGCTAACACGTGTAATGAATACAGCTCAAGATGGGACAGAATGCTAAACAGATATTGTTTGTAGAACGAGTTGACTTTGTGATTGGCATTTAAGGAGAAATGAGATAATGGTCTATTCAAGGAAAGTCTAGATGTGTACAGAGCTTTATGTTTGGTGCTCTATACCCTTTCTATTCCATCCATTTCTAATTCATTGATTAATGTCTACTACTTCAAAATAATTAAATCCTCTCGCGTTAGTATTTTGGAAACCAGGGCTTTAAAGTGGCTCTGAAGTCAAATCATAATTCAAATGAAGACTTTTAATTGGATGTCATCAGTCATGTATTAACAGCAGATGTCACCTTTAATAACACTAACTGTCGTTCTAAAACAAGTCCCCTTAATTGGTTGCAGTGTCTGGTCCAAAACTACCCTTACACTCTGCACTAATCTTTGCCTACCGCAGGCAAAATGTCTGCCTGCATTGGACAAGATGTGAATATTGAACATCGGCAGCATTTCCACAGCTCACTGCCATTGCCCATTAGACATCAATATGTGAAGCTCTATCTGTATAATGTTGAGGCTGTCCTTAAAACTTTTTGTGATGGATTTTCAGAAGCAAGCCTAGCTAGGGGGAGTGTGATGGGAGACGGAGGAAATAGGGAGCATTAGGCAGCGTGTATCAAGCCAGAGAGGCAAAAGCTAGACTCTCGTCATTTAGGAGAGTGGAGGATCTGAAAATTATGTTTGACAAAGGTTACTGACTTCTGTTATTCTTAACTGTATTTCAGTACACTGTTGAACCAATTGTACCACTTTTTAAGGGAGATATCTCATATAAATAGCCAACATTTTCCCACCTGAATACACCAGTTAACCTCCAAGAATGAGATTTTCACAAAACCTTTGAAATGTGAATGAATACACCTTGACCTGGGAGCCAGCTGTCTTTCACTGGATCACAAAGAGCTTTGAGCTCTCTTTATAGTTGTCGCCTTTTTTATATTTTCAGACGGCAGAAACACTTTAATCTGTGCCACTGTGAGGACAACAACTGTTTGATATGAAGTTGTATTTGGTCTCTAATATCAAGCTATAAAATTTAAAAAAAAGAAATTAAAGATGTTGATTCCCTGTTTTTCATGCCAGTTATGTTTATTTAAGATGAATACAAAAGATGAGAATATACTAGAGCTGTTAAGTTTGGTCCATAAATCAATTAGTAGAATGACACAAAATGACAAAAGTCATTATATTAAACCAAATGCCAAAAATTAAATGGTTCCATCTTCTGAAATGAAATAGTTGTTGCTTTTATTAGTCTTCTATTATAGCAATTTGAAAATATTTGCGTTTCGGACAAAACAAGCAATTTAAATGAGTCAGCTTAACAAACTATGACTGGCATTTTTCAGTCCATTTAATAAGATTGATTAATCAAGGCTAAAATAATCATTAGCTGCAGCCCTAGAATAGACAAGTGTTGATGTACACTTGTCAAAGTTTATTTCTTGTATTTATATTAAATCTCAGGCTCAGACTCAAATCACAGTCAATTTATTTGAAAATAAAATGAAAATAAAATATAATTAAAAACGCTGTGTATGTCACTTTTTTCTTTCTTTTTTTTTTTTTTTACTACACAGCAATTCCTGCATTTCCTCTCTCATCACTTTCTTCTTCCTCATAACTCTCACACCACTAGTGAGGAGCAGAAGCAGTAATAGAGAGCAGTCCCCAAACTTTAGGCAGGCGGCCCATATAGTGTTGAGGTCAAAAACATTTCCAACTGACCCTTCACTGTGCGTCTTTTTTGTTGTACTTATTTTTTTCCCTGCATAACAGAGAGCACAGAGAACGTCTCATTCCTCAGGGGGGACAGAAATCACTGCTCTTGTGAGCCAGTCAATGACAACTGTGTAGCCTACAGGCACGCCACAGTATGTGACTTTCACTGTGGCTTCTGTGCAGTCCAAATGCTCTTGCTGGTTTGTTTTCCTCTTTCCTTTGTGCAATAACGATTAGGTATTAGCATTTTTTCCCTTTGCTTTATGAGAGGGCCAATAGAGAAAGCTGGTGATAACACAACTGAATAAACTGAGAACAAATCTATAGAAATAAAAACATATAAACTCAGGGCATTAGCATCTGAGCTCAGGGCTACTGAAGGCTCAATTTTAACCAGGAACACTGGTTATGTGGTGGAGACTTTTTTTTGTTATGCAACGCATCTGTTAGAGAAAAGTGTGCAGATGTGTAAATATGTGCTGTAAGCAATTCATGTTCTTACAGGTTTCCAGATGGAGGTAACATATGTACAGAAATATGGCCAGAATGTTTACATGTGCGTTGTTAGTAGTCACCTTGTAGGATTCACAGATGGAGGTAAGATATACAGAGGAGATTCTGGTACTACAGGTGTGTTTACTGGCGAACGCCTTTTCTTACGTGAGGTAATACAAGTGGAAATGATGGGAATGAGATCAAGAAGGACTGCAAAGTCTCTAGTTAAAGAAAAAAACAAGCCAAGAATGCATGCTTGGGTGTTTTTGCTTGGGAATAATGAAAGGTTCTGCTTTTGCAAGTTCTCCTCCAGATGACCTTCCAGCTGCACCTTCACACATTTGAAACATTGCAGTGGGAGCCAGCAGGAAATTGACAATATCAAATCTCAATTTCCATCCACCCTTTGCTCCATCAGGCTGTTCGGGATCATTCAGAAAATGGAAAGCAAAGAAAAGTGACAGCTGTGATACTTGGCAGTGTGCTTGCTCTGTGCACTGTAGGGAGCTAGGAGATAGGAAGTGAGGGAGTAGGAGCTAGGGATTAATAGTTATGGGGCTGGGGACCAAAGTCTGAGTACTTTGTAATCATGTGGCTGCCTAACCCCAGTGTTAGCGAGGTTGATGAGCATGCGTCCCTGCTGACACACACTCTCTCTACATCCACTCTGCTGAATATTAATATGGAGGAGAGAATTCCTCTGAGGCCCATTGTCAGACGGCCCTATTGTTCTCTGCTGGCCTCTGCCTCAGCGTGTGTGCGCTTAGTATTGATGCGTAAGTTGGTGTCTACATTGTGTGCTTATGCATATTATGCCCATGTCTTCATCGGGCGTGTGTGTTGGCTACAGCAGAGCAGCAGTTAAAGTGGCAGCAAGGGAGATGAGGGGTGTGTTCGTGGCCCGCCATGGCCCATAAAGACAACTGGCCTGAGAACACTTGGGCCAGCCATCAGGGCCCAACATTGGCAATTATTTCACCTAGAGGCACTATCTGTAAAATGAACACTCTCATTAAAATGGCCTTGTGTGTGCACACGTGTATGCACGCTGATGTGTGTGTATGTCTGTGTGCACGCAGAAGTCAATTTAGAGGCACGGCAAATATATGGCAGCACAAATGCTTGTCTTTCAATCAAAGAGTAATGTGCTGTTTATGGCGTTTGACTGTGAATGTGTACTCATGTGTGTACTATGTGCATGTGAGCACATCTGTGAGTGTGTGTGTGTTTGTGTACATCTGTGTTTGTGTAGGTGTGCATATGTATCTGTATGGATTTATGTGTGTGTGTGTGTGTGTGTGTGTGTGTGTGTGTGTGTGTGTGTGTGTGTGTGTGTGTGTGTGACTGTTTAACTACCCCGCACACGTAACCTCCCCATCTCTGCCTCCCTGTTTCTCATTTACTGAGCCAGCACCAGAGAGAAGGAGTGTGGGGAAACGAGAAAACAAGTGATGGG